GGCGGCGTTGGTTTGAAGAAGACCTTCAGCGTTGCCCTGGCCGAGCGGGACGGGCCCTCTGGCTGGAGGTGAGCGGAGCCGAGGCCGCGGGTCGGCGCGACGGGTGGCGGGGCCAGGGGCGCGGCGGGTGGCGACGGAGCAGGGGGCCCGACGAGAGACTGGCCTAACGGAGGGTTCGGGAGGGGCCGCAGTCTAACGGGGCGCGAGAGCGGCGCGGGCTGGCCAGGCAGCCGGGCGGAGGGGGCGCTGGCCGCGGTCAGGGACCGTGCTCCGCCGGTCGAGTCCGGGGATGGACCCCAGCGGCCCAGGGGGAGCTGCGAGCGCGGAGCCTCGACCGCCCTCCAAGCCTGGGGGCCGGGCGGGACGCTGGAAGGATTGGTTTCTAGGGCGGTCGTACCTCAAACCTACGCCCCGGGCTCCAGCTGCTTCTTGGGAATTGCTGTCCGAGGCCAGGGGAGCGCCTCCACGTCTGGCGGCCCGAAGGGATGCTGTACTTGCCCTTTAAACAGCCCGGACGGGGAACAAAAGCGGCCCGTGCTGTCAAGTTGGTAATTGTGTAAGGCAGCATTACCTCCTCAGGCCTTTGACTCCCGCCTGCATCGACTGCAGCATCCGAACATCGTGCGTTGTCTCCAAACAATAAGTGCATTTGTGAAGCTAATAGAAACATGTAACCATACTCGACCCGCCGGCAGCACGAAGCCTTCCCGGTTTTTGCTGGATCATACCAGCAATGCATTTTCCATGGGTATCCTGTGCCTGACAAAGTAATCTTAAAATAGGCAAAATTGAGATCAGTTGGTAAACTGAACCAGCTATGCGGCTTTTGCAAAATATCTGGCAGTGGTTTTGAAAAATAGCCACGCAGAATCCTCCAAAGATGGTGACTGGGTCCTCGATATCCACAGGAGGTCTTAACATTTAAATGTTTCTTTTTCGTTGGTTCATTTGGTTTTCATATTCTTCCATCTTGGCAGTTGAAGAAGAAACAGAATGTCAGGCCTTCACCATTTCTATTTGAATGTGGAGAGCCTACTTATCTTTACTTACCTTCCAAATTGTGGATCTTAAAAAATAACATCAAGTTGGAAATGTACACATATCAAAAGTCTCGACTGATCACTTGTGCATAAAGGGCTTGAATGGTAAAATAAAGACTGATGTGAACTCTGAAACCCTGTAGCTTCAGAGCAAAGTCTAATGACTTTATGAGTCAGTACATTTATGCTCAGTATGTAAACTCTCCCTCTTCCTAACTCAGTGTCAACGCTGCCTTCATTTCACAGATTTAGGTGAAGGGACACATTATAAATAAATTCACAGTTGAGACATACTTACTCAAGGGCATGTCATGTTTAGCTATGATTGTACACGGAGAAACTTTTAGCAGAAGGCAAGATTCAGAGGTAGGCTAAATGCAAACAACTACTGGCTTGCATGTGTAGATAGTTGAAGATTAGGAATTGCAGAGACTACCTGGTGACGCCCTCTTCAAGGTATACTAATGTGGCAAACCACTTGAGGTGGTTCTGCCATTTGTTGTACATGGCTTTGGAGTATGCCTGATAAAGGCAACAGCTTGTTGCCGGAAAAGATTTTCCATCCTACAAAGAGGGTAAAGGGATGCTATGCTCTGAAACCAGTTGCTGTAGCCGTTCCGACTCACAGCATTCCTGTAGGACAGAGTAGAACTGCTCCATTGGGTCTGGACCCTGCACATCTGTATAAAGAAACAGACTACCACATCTTTGTTTCCCTGAGTGGTTGGTGGGTTTGAACCACTGAGAGTCCAGCTGCCAAAAAACACAACAACCTAAACAAACACTGCCATCCAGTTGAGTCTGACTCATAGTGACCCTATAGGATAAAGAACTGTCCGAGTGAGTCTTGGAGACTGTCAGTCCTCAAAGGAATAGAAAACCTCATTTCAAGAGCAACTGGTGGTTTTGAACCACTGACCTTGTAGTTAGAGGCGCAACGTGGAGCCCCCTTGGGCTCCTGAAAAGTTGATACCTTCTGAGAATTTGACTAGAAGATCTATTGGCAGTGGGAAGACTGACTAAGATAGTAAGTAGACAAAATGAAAATCAAGGCACCTTTAATTTGTGAGGCTTTGTCATTTACATCAGTTATTAGTAAACAGATTATGTAGCCAGAATCACATTTCTGGTTAATAGGTATGATTACAGCACTTAACTTTAAAAAGCTTTGAGAGATGGCAAATTTTAGATGAAATATATTTCAATTTATTTGGTAGCTTTTTAAGAACTGAATTCTGAAAGAGCAAAAAATGTTAAAACTAAGGCAGCGGTTCTCAACCTGTGGTCTTGACCTCTTTGGGGGTTGAATGACCCTTTCACAGGAGTTACCTAAGACCATCGGAAAGCACATATTTCCAATGGTCTTAGGAACGGAGACACCGCTCCTCTTTCCATCTGCAGACGGGTCCACTCACATGCAGATATGCCCACCTACGAGTACCCGGTGTGAAGACTGTTACCCATGCTACACCATGCTTCAAGACAAAATTTCATTGATTTGTCATTAGAAATAAATATTTCACAATCTATAATGACATTGTTTTTGTGATTAATCACTATGCTTTAATTATGTTTAATTTGTAAAAATGAAAATACATCCTGCCTATCAGATATTTACATGACAATTCATAACAGTAGCAAAATGATAGTGATGAAGTAGCAATGAAAATAATTTTATGGCTGGGGGGTCACGTCACCACAACATGAGGAATTGTATAGTAAAGGGTCGCGGCATGAGGGAAGTTGAGAATCACTGCACAATGTGTTTTGTGTTTATTAAAGTTTCTTAAAATATTGACCTTCTTGCTCTTTGGCTTTTATCACAGTCTGAGAAAGGTTTTTTCCGCTAAGGTGAATTTTGCTTAGTTTTTCACAGTAAGCCGTTTAGTGTAATACAACATCTCCTTCAGTCTGTGAGAATGTTTCTTTGAAAGGCCAGCTGTGCTCATTGATGAATTGGTGCCTTTGAATGCCTGTTACCTTGCCTGGGAAAATCTTCTCCAGTGTTACAGCCAGGCAAGTTCTTTTATAAGGACAGACTGCAGCCTCTTAACTTTGATTGCATTAGAGTCTGAACATTACCGATGCAAAGGAAGACAAAACTGTGTAGTACTTCTCTTAGAATGAAATGTGGGACGTCTGTGGGTGAATAGATACTAAAGTGATCTCCATTCCTTTGTCCGCATTCTTCTTTATAAGCTATGTGTAACACACCGACTTACTGTGACCTCGGAAAGGCTGCCAAGGATGTCTTCAACAAAGGATATGGTAAGTGTGCTGTTAGAAGTGTCCAACTGTGGGCCTTATGCATGGTGGTTTGAGGCCATAACGCTCAGCAGGTTACTGGGCTTAACTTTTCAGAGGTAGAGTCCTTTGTTGTGCTGTTAGTTGCTGTTCAGTTGATGTGACTCACAGCCACCCCATGGAACAGTCGGACTGCCTGGTAGGGTTTTTCTAGGCTGTCATCTGTAAAGGAACAGAGTGCCAGGCCTTTGTCCTGGGGGGTGGCTGCATTGAATCTGGACTGCCAGCATTCAGAATAGCTTCTGAGCACTTAACTGTTGTGCCGCCAAGGCTTCTCTGGAGTCACTACAGCATGAAAAGCCATTTATTTAATGTTATCTGTAAGGTAAATGAATAGAAATCTATAATGTATCTATGTCTCTTCTGGCTAGTCCTGGGGGTCAGTTAAAGCATGGGGGGACTCGTTTTCCTTTCCAAATAGTGGAAGTGTTTTTAATGAGAGTAGAGGTGCAGCATTGGAACCTGTTTGTAGTAATGTAGTCATTGATCCCCAATACATATATTTTTAAAACTTTAATCTTAACATTCTTAATTTTTATGCTCAATATATTAGATTTTTTCATATTATCCAGTAATATTAATTATATATTTAAAACTTATATGTATATTAGCATAGTATCTTCAAATAATATTGATGCTTGGAATAGTGTGTGTATATATATATTGTATACATATATTCCATACATCAGTTGGATCAAGTACATATGTACGTATGTTGTCATCATCATTTTCAAAACATTTTCTTTCTACTTGAGCCCTTGGTATCAGCTCCTCTTTTTCTCTCCTTCCCCCACTGTCCCACCCTCATGAACCCTTGGTAAATTATAAATTATTATTATTTTCATATCTTGCACCGTCCACTGGCTCCCTTCACCCACATTTCTGTTGTTTATCCCCTTGAGTTGGGGGGGCATTATACGTCAAATATTGTAGTCGGTTCCCCCTTTGTCCCCTTTACCCCCACCTTCATGGTATCGCTACGCCCATTATTATGCCTGAGGGAGTAGTATATTTTAAAGTATATGTTTATTTATTTTTCAGGACTTGAAATTATACTTGTTATTTTGTTATAATTCTATTTCATAAAGAACTCTCAACTAATAAGAGTACTATGTACTTCCTGTATGGAAGACACCATGGACTGTTTTCTTAATTTTATTGAGTTGTAAAAATTGGCCTGTATGTTACATTTTGTACATTATTTTGTTTGTGTGTTTGTATCTAGGGTTTGGCATGGTCAAAATCGACCTGAGAACCAAGTCTTGTAGTGGAGTGGTAAGTACCTAATATATATATATATATATTTAAAAATCCATGTAACATAATTGGAGAATGTAATTTAAAAACCATTATCCATGCTAATTATATGAAACAGAGTACTTGTGACATTGTGCTGTCTTCACTACAGATTTGTCTAATGCTCATATTTCAGTCCAACTCTACTCAGCCAGTTAAACCCATAGAGCAGTTGAATCTTGGAGGCCCCACTGTGTTCGTTATGAGTATTCTTGTCTTACTCCTAGAAGGTATAGATTATATCTATTTTTACCTATGCTCTGGCTTTATACTTTCATGAACACGCATATGCGCACTAGAAATTTTGCTTCCATCATAATGTGCTAAGCCAGAAGCCCTGGTGGTGGAGTGGTTTCATGTTGGGCTGCGAGCCACATGGTCGACAGCTCAAAACCACCAGCCGCTCCAAAGACTGGGATTTCGACTGCTATAAACTGCAGTCTCAAACCCGCAGGGGCTGCTGCGAGTCAGCACTGACTCGATGGCAGAGTTGGTTTGGTTTATAATAACTAGTTCAGCATTTCTACATGTACAACGCAGGGGCATTAATGATGTTCTTTGAGCTCTGTCACCGTGCTCCACCCTCCCTTTCCGTATTGCTCCCCCCTCAGTCGCCGTAAACGCCCTGCCCACTACAGTTCTATCTAATCTCGCAAGCTGCTGCAGCTGTCCCTCTGCTCCCATCGACACTGTAAAGCAGGATCACTGCCCAAGGCCGACGCTCTTCACTGGTTAATTGAACTTTCGTTTGGCATTACAGCTTCAGGGGACATTTCGGGTTGAAGGGTTAAAGCTTATCTTAGGGAAATAGTCTGCGATCCATGCAAGTTTTAATGCCCTTTTATAAACACAGATAGATTTTTTTTGCTGACCTTTCATGCATGATTAGTTGAAAGACAAAAAAGTCTCGTAAAGTACATGTAGATTGTAGTATTGTTTTTTGGGTCCCCCCCCAAAACCACTTTATTGGGAGGTGATACAGATAGCATATCATTCCATAGTTGAATCACATCAAGTAGTATTGTACAGATGCCGGCACAAGTCAGTTTCAAAACATTCTTTCTTCTTGAACTCCTTGATATCAGCACTCCCCTATACTATAGTGTTTGTTTTTCTTTTTAAAAAGCCATTTTATTGGGACTCTTACAACTGCATCAAGTATATTTGTACTTATGTTGCCATAAGCCTTTCCAAAACACTTTCTTTCTACGTGTGCCCTTGGTATAAGCACCTCTCCCCCCCGCCCCTTGCGTGCGCGCGTGTGCGCATGTGTGTTTTCATGTTTACTTGTTTATAAAGTCTTTTGGGGAGGCCAGGTGGTAGAAGTTAACATGGTAAAGAATATGTTGACATAGTTTTCAAGGGCCATTACCCATACCTTTCATTCAACAAATCTCAACAATTAGGTTAACATTACATCTACTTCAGGCTATTAATTTCTTCTCACTGTCTGCGTTATTTAGTACTTACTTATTCAAAGCATTCATTAGAGATGGATAGGCCTGTGCTTTATCACTGTCTCTCACCCCCTGAGAGTTTCTCCGGTGGAGAGTTAATATGTGTGGACCAGAGAGCTCCTCAGTCAGAGCACCCCGGTGAGGGGGTGGTTAAACTGCTTGGTTGCAAACCAAAGGTAAAGCGTTTCAAACCCACCAGCCACTCCCAAGGGGAAAGATGAGGCTGTCTGCTGCCGTAAAGATTTACAGACTTAGAAACCTGGTGTGACAGTTTGACTGTCTGATAGTGTCCCTGTGAGTCACAGTGGACTCTGGCCATGGAATGGGTATCCTCACAAGGATGGGCACATTTTATATGCAATGCTGTTAGAATAGAAGTGCGTATACTCATTTAAGTAGAGTTTCACAATTTGTTCATGTTCAGCTCATGTTGCAAAAGTCACCATTTAAAATTTTATCTCCCTATCACACTGCTGCGGTTTGGGAATATTCATTCAGATGGTAAGAAAAAAAGGCATATTTGTGTGCTTGCTTTTATGACTGCTTTTGGTCTCTGGCACCAATTTAAGATAGATTTCACCATTGCTTCAAGTTTCTTAAATTGTATCTTGATTTTTTTTATTTTATTGTATACTGTCTGGTGGCATGATGGTTACTTGTTGTGCTGCGATCTGCACGATCAGTAGTTCAAAACCACCAGGTGCTCCACGGGAGAAAGTTGGGGCTTTCTACTCCCGTAAAGAGTTATAGACTCAAAAACCCACACAGACAAGTTCATCCTGTCCTGTAAGGTAGCTGCGAGTTGGCATCAACTTGATGGCAGTGAGTTTATTTAACTAATACTTTTGTGTTGTTTTGTTGCTTACTAGCATGTGCTGTAGAGCTATGAGTGTTATATGCATGTTAAAGAATGCATTTTGCACTGTTCTGATAAATGATAAAAATCAAGACTAAAAACAGGCAATTGGGAGTCTGGGAATTCAACCTGAAAAATTTCTGGCATTCTTTTTGACATTTGTACCTCTAGTGTTTCAGAGTTTTTATAGAACTTCAAACTAAGAAATGATAATGCTAATAAGGAATAAAGTTAATTTCATGCATAAAATTTCCAAAGCACCAAAACTGAAGGTTTGTATTTGCTGTAGTTGTGAAGGTAAGATTTAAGTGGTGACTGTAAATGAGTCGTTGAGTTTGCTAACAGAAAGTGTCACGTTGAGAATTGTGTGAGCTGTCAAAAATGACTAATAATGTTTTTATCATTTTTACGAAGGCCTTGCCCTAAATGTGCAGCGTGATACTCTGTTAGAAAAGGTTCTATTTGGTGTTGATAAACACATCATAGTTTCCCAGTTGTTTCATCTCCTGTAGACCGGGCCTTAGAGAGCAGCGTGTTAAAGGGAGGCTTCAGACTGCAGACAGCAAAACAGAACCGGGTTGGTGTATTTCATTACTGTTGGAGCAGCACCAATCAGACGGTGTTTTTTTCTGGATAGTTCCTGGATGGATGGTGACAGGTGTTGACTGTTTGCTTCTCCCCAGAAGGAGATGTGTTTCAAGTAGCTGGCGGTCATGTGACTGCAAGGGCACTCACAGGGAGAGGGGTATCAGGAAGGTATTTGCAGTAACTGCTAACAGCACCTTGAAAGGTAGACTGGGGGAGATGAGGGAAAGAGAGAGGAGCTATTCACATTGCGTTTTGTTGTGAGAAGCGGACAGATACTTCCCATTATTGAAGTTGGTTATGCTGAAAGCTTCACAGACAGTCTTAGAGACAGAGCAATAAAGCTATGACCCTGCAAAAGCGAGCCAGGCTGTGCTTTCCGTGTTTAGGGATTTTTATGGACTTAAAATGTAATGACTTGAAAGGTATGATCGAGAACTCATGATCATAGAAGCAAACTTTAAGGTTCAATATTTTTGTGTTTTTAGTAAAGGCATTTGTTTTCAGAAAGTAAGTTATTTTCTTTTACAGGAGAGAATTTGAGTTTCCACTTGACTAAGCGAGTGTAAGCAATGTGACTATCAGTGAGAGAGGTGGAGGGTGGGTAGAGCTGAAGTTAGGTAGCCCGTCCTAGAGCTTCCGTTCATTTCGATTGCAGAGAGAGAAGGCAAGCAGCAAACAGAGTAAATTGTACCGGGTCCCGACACATCCAACACCACGTTCTGAAATGATTTTAAAACTTATTTGAGGAGCTAATTTTAAGGTAATTTGAGGAGCTAATTTTAAGGTAATTTGTTTGTCTTGCTCACCAGGAATTTTCTACTTCTGGTCATGCGTACACTGATACGGGAAAAGCATCTGGCAACCTAGAGACCAAATATAAGGTCTGTAGCTATGGACTTACCTTCACCCAGAAATGGAACACGGACAACACTCTGGGGACGGAAATCTCTTTGGAGAATAAGGTAAGAGAAAGCACTAGAACACTTGTAGATTTATTAAACAAATACATTTTACAGACTCTGTGAGGCACAGACTCCAGGTGTCATCTGGATGAGAGGTTATAACATCCTTCTTTGGTATGTCTTAACTATTGTTTATAAAAAGTAGGGCTTTGTTTGTGAGCACACTATCACTTTGCATCTGTTCTCTGACCAATTTCACGAAGTCTTTAATACTGCTGAGCCTTCCCTGGGTAGACCAGACTACTCACATCGAAATTGTTTCATTTCGCTGTCATTGTAAAATTGGCCCCACAGAAAACTGTTTCTGAAATTCTGTGATGGTTTTAAAGAGAAGTTCTGTGAGATATTTGTCAAGTGCTTGCTGGGCACAGGGCATTATTTTTGAGTTGTGTCTATATGCACATCAATGTAGAGAGAGAAAATTTATTCACATGTATCATTAAATTACTTAGGACTTGTTCAATATCGGATATGCCATTATATCAATTTCAAGATTAATTTGTTGAATTGGAATTGTATTACTATTGTATTATAATTTGTTATTTTTTATAATAAGATTTGATGGGAAAATCTTGATTAAAGCAGAGGACGGGAGGGAAGGATGTGGGCATAATTTAATATCTAATATAATACTCTGATACTTAACGGCCTATAATGATTTCCTTTCTTTTAGACGGAACTAGAGGAAATTTTAGAATTGGTTTCTTGAGTTGAAAAGATATTGGAAATTTATCAATGTGCTCATTTTAAATCTTTATTTTTCAGTTGGCTGAAGGGTTGAAACTGACTCTTGATACCATATTTGTACCGAACACAGGGTAATTATGCAAACCCTTTCTTTCTGAAGTGTTTTGGAAACCTGCAAGGATAGAGAGCGTTGAACGTGGGAGCTGCAATTACAAGCTGGGAGGCACGGGGCCGGGGAGGTTGCTGCTGGGAACCTGGGGCCTGGTGGACGTCGCAAAGATGAAGGAAGACTCCCGGGGAGGGTGAACTGTGGATTTGGAAACAGAAAAGATTACAAGATTTATAAATCTGTTCCACAGAGAAGCATCATAGAAAACGCGAATTGCTGAAAGGGTCTGAGACCATAGATATTTTAAAAATTATATTCTAAAGATTTATGGATATGACGTTTTTCTGAGAAGTGAACTTTTAGTAACGGAGAGAGTGCAGTGTCTTCTCTCGGGACCACTCTGGTTGTCATTCTGCTGCTGACTTGCATTCTCGGCCCCTGCTAATCTCCCCAGGTCTCCGCTTCATGTCCTCATCCCTAACCTGGACCCAGCGTTGCCTCCTATTTGCCACGCAGGGGCTGATGCTATCTAAAAGGTGCCGGGGAAATACAAAGTGGCATTTCTTTAGCTGTAGCAACACATTATCTCCTTCCTGCTGAATACTTCCAGTATCTGCAGCGCTGCTCTCACCAGAGGCCTCCTCGGAGTAGCATATGAGCTGTTAAGAACTAATTAGTGTTTTCTCTATTGTCTTTCCAAACAAGTGTACTTCTCTCTCTAATATGTTTGTAATTCAGCAACAGATGTGTGTTTTGTGACATTTGGGCACTTGGAAACCTTTAAAGAGATGTAGTTTCTCACGATTATGAATTTGGCACTAAAAGATATTACTGCATATACTTTTTTCCATGTCTTGATTAAAATTAGTGATGAAGTAGCCTATCATTTGAATTTGAATAGACTAATATACATTTATGATTTAACAAAATTATGAAACCTCTTTATACTCTTATCTGCAGTCTTCCAAAATAATATAGAAATTAGGGGATAGTCTTTAGAGATCCGGGCTGAGCTGTAGTAGAGACTCATGTTGTTTTTATTTTGTTGGTTTTTTTCACAGAAAGAAGAGTGGGAAGTTGAAGGCCTCCTATAAACGGGATTGTTTCAGTCTTGGCAGTAACGTTGACATTGATTTTTCTGGACCAACCATCTATGGCTGGGCTGTGTTGGCCTTTGAAGGTTGGCTTGCTGGCTACCAGATGAGTTTTGACACAGCCAAGTCTAAACTGTCACAGAATAATTTCGCCCTGGGTTATAAGGCTGCAGACTTCCAGCTGCACACTCACGTGTGAGTGTTTCTTATTTCTTCCTTGGTAGTGCCAGTGCGGCCACCTGGAAAGGTGGGAGCCGTCAGCCTCTAGAGAGGATTCGAATTGATGGGACTGGTATTTGCTATGCCTTGGTGGACACCCCGCTTGGGTGTGCTGTTTGCAGTCCACAAAATCCTGTAGGGAGGGCTGGTGCCCTGGGTGCAGAGTGCTGTGCTGCCGGGCGTGCCTGGTCGCTCTGCTTCTACCCTCCTGTCAGTAGAGCCCTGGGGCAGGGGAGACCCCGGCAGGGCTCCCTCCTGATCTGAGAGATCCTGTGGAGGCCTGCCTGCTGCTGCTGCTGGCATCCTGCTCAAATAAGCAGGAATCGCCGCTGAATTGATGTGATCACCCTGGGCATCACTAGGAGTGCTGTGGAGGTTTTCAGGGACACCTTGGTCAGAACCCAGTGCCCCCACCAGTGCATAACGGATTCAGTTCTGCAGGCTGTACCTCATAATTGAAGTTCAATTTGAAAATGGAAAAGATGAACGAGAATTTAGAAATCCGTTCCGAAGGGACACACTGTAAAAGTGGGGAGAGCACATTTTAAGATTGTGTTTGTAGTCTTGGCCGGTGAGAAAGCAGCAGCCAGAGTGTGCGCCCGCTTGTGGACAGCCGGTTTGACATTTGGATGCAGCGGTGAAGGCAGAGGTGTGGACACGAGGACGCGGTAAAACTGAAAGCTCCCGTGCTAAGTTGAGATGCTTGAAAGCAGTGCTTTGCATGCTTCTGTGGAGCAGTGCAATCTGGATATTAGAGGATGTTTTCTAACTTTAGAACTTTGTTATATGTGAAATCCAGGTTTGCCTTTACTTCTGCCCTGGTGCCTCTGTTTTGACTGTTTGTTTGCTTGTTTGTTTGTTTAAATTACCAGAATCTCGATTGAGGTCTTTCAAGTTTCTGAATTGTGTGAAAATCTCAGAGATTCATAGGCCATTTTTACTGAGGTGATCTGCCTTGGTGCATAGTTGAATCCTGTCTAAGAAATTTACATCGTGACAAGGGCCCACGCCAATCAATCAGCTGTTACTAGATTTGAACTAGGCACCTATTAAAAAAGAGATGGATTTAGTTGTTTTGTTGTACAGTCATTTATGCTAGAAGTTTGCTGAAACTTGAAATTACAAAAAGGTCGTCATAGACTTCGTTTCCGCATCCTTAGTTAACAGCGGTAATAAGATAGACTGGTTACCTGTAACTCTTCCCTCTTTCATGGAAACAGGAATGATGGCACTGAATTTGGAGGTTCTATCTACCAGAAGGTTAACGAGAAGATTGAAACGTCAATAAACCTCGCTTGGACGGCAGGCAGTAACAACACCCGTTTTGGCATTGCTGCGAAATACAAGTTGGATTGCAGAACTTCTCTGTCTGTAAGACCATGCTGCCCGGGCCTCTCCTGGGTTTGCCTCCAGGTGGCGCCGTGTGCATGCTCTGGGTCAAGTTGAGTGAGCCAGCTCTACTTGCAGTCAGGAAAGGGGAGGTTGAGGCTTTGGCCTACCATTTTTCTTCTCTGTGAATTCATGGGATTTGATTACTATCCCCGATGCTCTTAGGCCTTATTTGTAATAATGCTAATTGAGCTCTTAAACTTTCAGGTACTGGTCTAAGGGCTTTACATGTATTAGCTCATTCATTCCTCACAAATACCCTTACGTGGTGAGTAGTATTGTCCTCACCCCCATCTTACAGATGAGGAGACTGAGGCCTAGGTCAGGTCACGTGCCCAAGGGGTGTCACACGTTCAGTGGTGGTCCCATGGATGTGAACTCTGGCGGTTTGTTAGCAGAGGCTGTGCTCTAGCCAATGCCAGGCTGGCAGCTACCATCTCCACGGCCTGGGTGCGCAGGGGTGTTGGGCTGGCACGTGGTGCTCTAGGGTTCCCACTGAGGCCTTCTCGCATGCCTTCCATTGTCCCTTCTCCTCATGGACTTTTTTTTTTTTTATCTAATTGACTTCTTAAAGCCTCATCTTTTATGTTTTTATTTTATTTATTAAAATTCCGTTTCCTCGGGTGCTTTAACTTTGGAAACCGTGTGCATGAAGTAGTGGTTTTATCAAATTGACCTATTCTGAAATTAATTATGTTCTCTTTCTTTGCCTTCTCCTAATCTTAGGCTAAAGTAAATAATGCCAGCCTGATTGGACTTGGCTATACTCAGTCCCTTCGACCAGGTAAGTGATGCAATTTAGTAGCAGTAGGATTGGAGTTAAAGAAATAATGAAAATGATTGTCCCTGTAGATCAGAGCAGATGATTTTGTCATTGGGTTGCAAACCAATCAAGTACTTTTACTGAAAAACATCGATATGCTTCCAATTAGGCTCTTAGGAACTGTAGCTTATGAGTGTGGCGGAACCATTTATTGTTCTTGTCTCTAAGTAAACTTGACCATGATCATCCACTATTCATTGCACCTCAGAGTCTAGATTACCTATGTAGATGAAAGGTGCACTGGTCGCACAATGGTTAAGTACTCAACTGCTGACCAAAAGGTCAGTGGTTTGAACCCACCGGCAGCTCTGCAGGTGACATGACCAGCGCTCGGCTCCCGGAAAGCTTGCTGCTGCTGTTGTGTGTGCTGAGTGTGTGTCGCTCCTAGCGGCCCGGCGCACAGCACCACCCTCACCCCGAGGTTCCTGTGCTTGAGCACTCGCCGCAGCTGTTGTTTCAGTCCATCTCCTGGAGGGCCTCCTCCTTTGTCATTGTCTTTTCCGGACTACGCATGCCGTCTCCAGGACTAGTCTCTCCTGACACAGCACATTCAAAGTATATGAGGAGCACTCTGGCTAGACTTCTCCCAAGCCGGATTTCTTCCTTCTCCTGGCAGACCGTGGTATATTCAATATCCTTTGCCAGCATCATCATTCAGTTCTTTGGTGTTCCTTAGTAATGGTCCAACTTGCATATTAAATGATTGAAAATACCGTGGCTTGTTGGTCCTCAGAGTGCGATCTTGGCTGTGCAGCCCTGGGAGAGGTTCCGTGCAGCAGATGTGCCCAGTGCAGTGTGTCATCTGCTTTCTCTAGTGAAACCCAACTTCAGCCCTTCCTCTGTTGCCACTAGCCTCTTCTCCATGTATGATGAAGGCGTGAAGATGACAGCCTACCAAACCCCGTGGGCTCGTTTCTCTCTGCCACGAGCCTGACGAGCTGGACCCCCGTCAATGGCACGGCACGGCACGCCACACCACGCCACAACGGGACGGCCTCATAGTGGGAGGCTGGTGACTCTTAGGCCCAACAGTAGCCCATGCCATTGACCTCACCCATCGTTTCTCGAGCGTTCTGACCTGACTGTAATGCTTGTGTGAGTGATGACTGCTGCTTTCTTCTTCCTAGGAGTCAAGCTGACCCTCTCAGCTCTAATTGACGGGAAGAACTTCAATGCCGGAGGCCACAAGGTTGGCCTGGGATTTGAACTAGAAGCTTAATGTGGTTTTGAGATTTGGCCCTGGAGGTGAAGCGAAAAGAACCCACTATGTTTTGGCCTTAAAATTCTTCTGTGAAATTTCAAAAGTGTGAACTTTTTATTCTTCCAAAGAATTGTACACCTTCCCACACTGGAATCTAGAGTGTGCAAGTCCATCCCAAGGGAGGCACTTGGAGGCATGCGTGGAGGTTGTCATGTTTGTGCCACATTTCAGTTCAGTCCCTCAGTGTTGTTTGCGTGTGCTCCTCAGTGACAGCGTAGTGTCTGGTTCTAAAGGAAATGACCGACCCTCCAGTTTGTACATCACGTCCTGCATGTCCTACACCGCTATTTCATGACCTTTTAATGTAGAGGTCTCTGCTGTAGTGGAGTCTTTGGTTTCTGCATCAGAGTAAAATAAATCCATCACATTTGGAGCATAATCACTTATCTGCTAGTAGTGATTTTCTTACATCTTGGTGTGTTTGGAAAGTTTTGAAAAGTACCTTATGGGTTGGAGTTTGCACGTAGAAACGGTCTCTCAAGTAGTCAAGGTGATAGACCCAACAGTTCCCTTAGCTGCTGCCTGCCCTCCCACCTTGACCCCTCCTGTATCGCTCTCATGGCCTCAGCAGAGGGGTGAAGCATACATATTCACTGTAGTTTGGTAGAAGGGCTGATATGTTCTTGAGGAAGAGTGAGGGTGTGAATGGGCAAAGGAAAAAATACAGTTGGGGGAATCCTGTGGGGAGGAGAGCGAGGTGCGAGGCCAGAGCTGGCGAAGACACACCTGTGATTCTGTCAGGGCCTCAGATAAGCACGGTGACTACATTCAGAAAACCTGCAACCAAAGAGTGGCTGTACCAGTTCAGGGAGGAACTGAAGAC